GTCAACGTGTGTACCCTGCGTAGGGATGCGATGTCACGGCTCCGACCTTGGCCCTAGAGATGGTGTGGGTGTTGCTTTAGCACCTCTGTCCCCATTAGCAGGGGGTAGTATGGCAGCGCATATATAGGTACGGGTCCCAGGACTGGGCCTGGAAGACGAAAGAAACCCCGGTGCCGCTCTGCTGTGGGGTTGACGTTGTCGAGAGTCCTGCCCGCTATTGATAGCACTTTTTCCGGGCCAGAGTGAATAGTTGTTGAATTCAAAAACGCTCTGGGGGATAGGTGATATGCATGTAGTTATTGTAGCAGCAGGAGCCAGAAACAATCCGCGTGCATCGGACAAGAGATAAGGTGCTCAAAGAGTGGGGCGGGGAGATATCATAGAAATTGGCCTCCCATTGATTTCTGCATGTTCGAATACAGCGGAAAGAGAGCATGTCTCACGGTGTACTCTTGTTACGCCTCCCAACGTCGTCCTCGACGAAACGCCCAGCCGTCGGATAGCAACCCCCGACTCACAACGTGTCACACGTCCGCATCGGCAAGCTCCGGTGTCTCAGATTACGCCCCGTAATCTCATCTCGCATCACCCCTTTGCTTTATCTTATCGCCGCCGAACACACACGTAAGCGTGAGATGAGATTGACGTTGCGAGATCGCATCCCATGTCATGGTGTGATCCCCATATGTCGAGGTGGGGAAGGAGAGTCTAAGAGCGATGTATTATGCGATGTCGGGTGGAGGTTGGGGGGGGTGCCTTGTTCGTCCGGATGGATGTCAGCTGAGTTACACTACGGGATCGGCGTGGAGGACGAGGACATCGCATACTCACTTACGTATGTCGTGCAGGAGCACAGCGATGTGCGAACATCGGTCAAAAAGGTTGAGGAAAATGGACACTTTGCGCAGGGATGAGGAAATGGGATGATCTAATCAATCGCTGACTAGTCCATATTGGGCGACGGCCATCATCTTATCAATATCTGTCGCGATGAAAAAAAAAAAAAGTCATGAAGAGAAAATGCGAGATGAAACGGGGTGGGTTTGGATTGACGTCCGTCGTAGGGGCGTCAGGAGGCCGAAATTTGTGGGTCCCATGGGGTGGTGTGTGTTTCAACGGATGGGAGGAGGTGTTCTAACTTCTGCAGGAGGGAGGAACGCAAACGAAAGTGAATTCAAAGAAGGGCGGAGGCCGAGGACGAGTGTGAGAGTCGCACTCGGAAGAGCGGGCAAGAGGCATGAATGCGGCGAGGAACGTTCATATAAAAGACCCGAATAATTGAAGGGGAAATATATTATTTGTTTGCGTCCCTGAGATGGTCCGGCGAGGAAGAGAGGCTTGTCCACTGCACAGAGGGGCTCAATGGCGACGGTAGGACAAGATCGAGCACCTGAGAGTGTAAAGTAAAGCACGGAAGAGTCGAGGCAGCGATGGGATATCAGATGAGGGCGGAGAGATGAGATAGGAGAGTCGGAGATTGAAAAGGGTTATCAGAAATAATATGCGAGCTGTGATTGGTTGGTGGTCCGTTATCAGTGCCAGCGGAGGAGTGTTGCCCCTCTACGGATTACCATGTCGCCCGCCGTTGTCCTCGACCCCATCCACCCGTCCCTCGCATCGTCCGAGTTCACATTCCCCGCCTCGCCCCCAGTCCGCTCCCCCTGCGTCAACTGCGGCACCCTCCAGACTCCCCTCTGGAGACGGGATGCAGACGGCAACCCGATCTGCAATGCCTGTGGTAGGTGTTGCACCCACGCACCATCGTCGTGTTCTGATCATCCACCCCTACCAGGTCTTTATCAAAAGTCACGATCCAAGCCGCGCCCTTCCTCGCTCGGCCACACACCTCCCCCTCCTACAAATACCGCTCCTCCCTCCGTCCAGCCCCCGCAGCCCTCGCCCTCCATGCTCCCCAAGCAGAACAAAGCCACCACCTCTTCAAATACAAAACCCGTCCCGCACACTAACCCCAACACCGGCGGTACCTGCCCCGGTGACGGCCGCTGCGACGGCACAGGCGGAACCTCTGCCTGCTCCGGCTGCCCTACCTACAACAACGCCCTCGCCCTCGCCTCGCGCCAGGATCCCAACCTAACCGATAACGACGGCGACGTCGAGATGGGTCTCCTAGGTATCGACATGTCTCTCGACGACCAGGAATCAGCGGCTGCCGCAGCCCTCGTCGCAGCCGGCGTCATCCCCGCCCACCCTGCCGGTGCGTCCACCGCTGCAGGTGCAGATAGCGCTACGAGTCCGGAACAGGGCGCGGAGAGCGATGCTCAAGTTGTGCTCGGCCCCGCGGGCTTGGGAATTGGTATGATCGGCAACCCTAATGCGGCGGCGCTGCTCGCTGCCCAGCAGCCATCTGCGAATGGGAACGGGATCGGGGGCAGGAAGGTCCGCGCGGCGGTTGGCGCACTTAGTTGTGCGAACTGTGGTACGAGCACGACGCCGTTGTGGCGGAGAGATGATGTTGGGAATAATATCTGCAACGCATGTGGTGCGTGTCTACTTTCGATTGTGTTTCATCTATCTGCCGTCGAGTGGTTTCGTTGCTGCATTGCGCTCGTGTCGCTCTGCCACGTCTCATGTGATCGGGGTTAGGGATCGCTCTCTCACGTTTGCGTTCTCATTCCCACCTGGTTTCGCATGCAGGCCATCTTATCAGATAGCACTTCCCCTCCCCTCTTCATCTCGCCCTTGAAGAAACACATCTAATACCGTTCATCCAGGTCTTTACTTCAAACTACACGGTACACACCGGCCCAATAGCATGAAGAAAACTGTCATCAAGCGACGGAAGCGCGTCCCCGCTGCCCCTGGCGGCTCGCCTCAACACCCGCGTGCGGGTGCGGCAGGAGAGCTCGCGACCCCCGGTGCTGGGGGGCGTATGTCGGATCAGGCTGCGGCTGAAGCGCTCGTTGCAGTCGGACGGCTTGGTGGACGGCGTGGAGATACGGAGGATAGCGGTGATGAGCAGGAGGAAGAGGAGGAAGGTGGCGATGATGGGGAAGCGGGCGGAGAGCCACCTAGGAAGAGAAGGGCAAGGAGGGGTGCAGGTGTGGGAACTGCGAGCGCTGGTGCTGGACTCAGGAAGACAAGAAGTAAGGGCAGTGCGGACGACGAGCGACGGAGTGCGAGTGTCGGCGGACGCGAGGGCCTACGGAAACGTGGATCCGGTAACGTCGCCGCTGCTGCTGCTGCGAATGGCTGGCCGCAGGGCCAAGCACCCCAGCAACAAGGCCAGGAAGGTCGCTCAGCCTCACCACAACAGCACCTGAACATGGGCATGGGTCTCCGCGGGCCGCGGCACCAACACCACCCCAACATCCACCCGGCGCTCCAGCCCGAATTCATCCAAGGCCGGCCGTTCCCGCCCTCCGGTGCAGGGTACGATCTCCCGCCGCTGGCCACGCTGAACGGTATGGTCCTCGGCGGGCCGGGCGGGGGTTCGCAATCGTACGTGCGCTCGGGGTCTGGGGCGCCCAGCCGGACGCACTCGCCGATGCCGTATTACGGGATGGAGCTCGCGGGGTTCATGCCTGGGTACCCGCCGCATCTGGGTGGGGGTGGGGGTGGGGGTGTGCCGTCGCTGCAGGAGCTGGAGAGGCATTATGTGGAGCTGGGGGAGCAGAAGAGGAGGATGGAGGAGATGGTGGAGAGGACGGAGAGGTTGATGGGGGGGGTGAGGAGGGGGATTGAGGAGATGCAGGTCAAGGGGGGGAGTGTGGGGGTGAGTAGTAGGAGGGGGAGTCCGAGTGCGGGTGGGGGGGGGAGTCCGAGGGTGGGGGGACAGGGACAGGGACAGGTGGGGACGGGGTCGAGGGTGCCGTCGCCGCTTGGGAGCCCGAAGCAGGGTCAGACGAGCCCGGGGAGTGGGGAGAGGGCGGGTGAAGGTGCGGAGCAGGTGCAACAGGAGAGTGGGGTGCTACAGGTCCCGCTTGAGCGTGGGTTGGGGAATAATGGGGAGAGGAGGGCGAGCGTGTGGCCTATTGTTGGGGCTGCGCACTCCGAGTGAGCTTGTTCGTGTTCACTCCCTTCTTGTGTTTCCCGGCGCGCGTCAAGTGCGCATATACCCCGTCGTCCGCTGTCGCTCTGGCTCCTACCTTTTTCACTGTGCATAGTTTGTCGTTCGCTCTGTCCTCGCCTCAAGTCCAAGTTCAAGTCTTAGCCCTAATCTAATCCACCCTCCCATCCCATCCCGACCTCGCGCCCGCGTATCTATCTATCTTCTATGTCGCCCCCACTCCGCGTCGATGCCTCGTGTCCCCGCCTCCCCCGCGTATCTATTCATGTCGCTCCCCACTCCAGGACTCCACGTCGGTTCTTCATTTCTGGTTCTGGTTGTTGTTATATTGCCGTTCATCATCGCCTTTTTTCGTAAGCTTGTATGCGTATACGTATGATGTCTTTTTATATAATGTTCAAGCTCCTGCCACCTCCCCTTTTTTCTCTTCTCTTTCTTCTTTTGAGTGCTCCATTCAGCGGTTTTAGGGCCACTGTTTTTCTTCATCTCCCCCTTTATCTCCCCCTTTTTTCTCACCTACTCCTATTGTGTCTCGCGAACACCCCACCTCCCACCCCTCCTCCTCCCCTCCTACTCCCCCCCCTAAAAATCGCTAGGCCGTCGTTGGCTGGCTTACTGTCGTTATGTGTTCTCTCGGTATATTTTACTTTTTAGTGTTTAGTGTCTAGTGTTTAGTGTCTAGTGTTTAGTGTTTTACCTACTGGCTGCCGTCTGTTGGATAGGTTTTTTCTTTACTATGTGCGTGTATGTTGGTTTGCGTTTGGTTGTGAGTTATAATGCATGTGGTGGTGGTGTAGTTTTTTGAGTGAGCTGGATACGGAGGAGGAGGGGATATGGTCATGGCTTTTGGGCTGTTGTGTTCTCGGGATTATGATCAACGCTTCTGACACTCTCCTTAGCTCTGGGTGATCATGAGACTCAGAGGACGGCAAAAGAGAGGAGAACAAAAGAAAAAGTGAATACAGAACACCAACGACGCCAGCAGGATTTGAACCTGCGCCCTCAAAGAGGAACAGATGGGTAATTCGGGAATTCGAATCTGTCGCCGTAACCACTTGGCTATAGCGCCTTGGAGGTGGGTGGGGTGGATGAGCGTCGAGGGGGTCGTGAAAGGCTGTGCTGTGCTACTATATCATCCGACGACATCGAATTCACCTCAGCCTGAGCTTTCCATCAACATCATGATCCATGCAACTCCATTGATATGATCACTTCTCTCCCTCTCCCCTCAAAAAAGACAACGTGAGAATTGAATGTGACTACGGGAGACCTCGGACGGGAGACTAGTGCAACTCCGCCTTCGCACCAGAGCTCGAGGCGAATGGCGGATGTTTATATGCCCAACAACCTCGCTGTTCAAGTTGCTCCTGCATACGTATTCGTGGATCATCGACGAGTAGGCGGGTTTGGCATACAGTGATTGATTCGCACTGGCAACTTGCTTCGCAAGGCGGGCCGGGCCGTAATTTCTACCCTTCCATATGGTCGAAACTCGAGACGTGTACTAACCGTGTAGGACGCGTCTCTTTCGACGTTACACGTCTTAACATTCATATATCCATTCTCAGGATTTGATCATGGCGTCTTTCAGAGGAGAGGTCATTCTCCGGAGGTCCTGATACTGTGTAGAGCACTAGCGCCGACTACAGATCGCCTTATCCCGCACGCTCGGACTCCCCTACTTGTTTTTTGGCACGCGTCGCGCCGATGTACGCACTGAGCACCGTGTGCCCATAAACCCGTCTCCCAGCTTCCGCAGGCTGCTTATCCATGAGGGCCCCATGACCGCGCACCACCCGGGACGAGAGCGGCGTAGATATGGTTTGGCTCGTCTACTCTCACGTCAAGGACAGCTTGGGATATAAGAGCGCTGTAGTATGTTCAGGTTTCCAACACCTTATCATGGCCACTGCAGCGAATTCTGTACCCGTATCCGACGCTCATTGAGGTACGTCGGTCGGGACAGTATGTAACGAAATTGTTGATGCTCAATTCCTTTTCTACAGGTGGATCCTTTTGTGTGAGCTATATGGATCTGAAAATTGCGAGGCGTATCAAACTAACATGGGAAGATAAGACAGGCGGAGAAACAGAAGGTATGCCAATTTATGTTCATCGCATCCAGGTGTTAGCATCGGGCTCACGGACGCGGGTTTTATAGGGCGTGCACAATTGCTGGCAGTATGATTATTCTTCGTCGACATGTGGATATCTGTGTTCAGGTTTCATGCAGCCCAGATATTCCACCATTCGTGACGGTAAAGCCCGGAGATGTAAGCTCGTCTGTACTCCCGAACGTCACAGCATCTTATCACTTATGCAAAAATCCTTATATATGAAGAACCGTCGCCTTCAAGCAGGCCGCGTTGAACGCCATGGCTTGCTTGCAGAAAGTGACGTTTGACTGCCCTTCTAAGTAAAGATATGAACTTACCCCATTTCCGGTTTTCCAGCTTGGCTACAGTGAGCAAGTTTGCGCGTGCGTCCAAGTCTAACCTGAAGGGCTGATTGTTTTACTGTCGAAGCCCGCGAGCAAGCATGTAAGCTCTCTCCACAACGAATGAGCCCTCTTTATCCCTAACGGCCGCACACTGTTTCAGATCTCCTACTAACGGCTGCAGCAGTTGAAAGCCATGTCGGTGCTGTTGTCGTACGTTGCTTCGCTGCATTCGATGACTGCTGCGTCCATGATCAAGCTTGGATGATAGGACTCTCCCAACGCATGTTTTTCTGCTTCCTCTATCACTCATATCAATGTCCTGTCGTCAGGATATCTTGCCCAGGCCTGAAGGGCTTACGAAGCGCGATTTCGGTCAGTGCGCGATTAGGAGCGATGGGGTCGTCTAATTTCATGGCTTACATATGATACTGGGAAGGGCAGAGAGTAAGACGCATGATGATAGCAGAATTCATAGTGAACTTTGAAGTACACGGTTCAAGTGATTGTAACCATCTATGTATGTGCCATCGGAGAGACTCCTTGTCTCTAGTCCTTCTTCTCCAGGCCTTTATTCCCTATAGGGCTGTGGCCCCAGCCCTCAGGCCTGAAGCTTGAAGTCGCAGCTCTGTCAATTGGTGACAGTCGTGATCGGTGGGTGTGTTTGAAGTGACTATTATGTGACGACGTCACATCTCATGTTCTGCGTTTCCGACATGACCAACTGTTCATTCCATGCTCTCTCTGTCACTTCTGCTAGGGTATGTGCTGCGGGCCTGCTACTGTGATACATAGGCAGGAATATAGGCAGGAATAACCCTTATCACCCCCTGTGAGAGTGCTCCATTAATAATTCAGTTCTGTTTCCTGACTTCTTGCGAAAGAACTTGAAGTGAAAGAATGCGTGCGCTGGTCGGCGAAGGGATTGTCACTCAGCCAGTTGATTAGTATAACGAACTGTTCAAGTCGCGACCCTCGAGATCTTGCATCGCAGGAAACCTCACGGAGCAGCGAACGAGTGCAAGACCGTTCATTCTTGGATCTTGGCCTCAAAGCACTCTTTCTCGTGACGCTGAACTCTTCACGCATTCAGAACTGGTCGGAAAGCGTTGCTGAAGCCTTTGAGGAAGAGGTTACGCGTCCGTTGGCAGAAATGTCAACGTTCTCGAGAAACAGTACGCGTGGGTCATCCACGATACGACGCGGCAAAGTTGAGGCGAACGTCTTGTCGGCGGAGAAGTTGGACAGCCGGGATGAGATTCGGGAAGACGTGGAACCGGATTACCGAAATGCTCAGGAGAGGGATAGCGAAGATCAAGAACTTTTGAATTACATCACGGTTCAGAGGTCTTCCCGTAATGCATCTTATCGCTGATCTGCCTCATTTGATCACATAGCGCCCCCATTCCCTCTCAGCCAAGACCTCCTGCAGTTCTCCTCGATCCTAAATGACAAGTACTTTGCAGGCTGTCACCACATAGCCGGCCGTTCTATCACGATATGCATTTTTATACTTGGCTGTAAAGGAATAGGCATAGCTCAACGAAGCTCTGTGCCCTTCAGCAGCGACGATTTCATTCAAGGTTGAATGGGTGAATGGCTTCTCACAATGGAGAAAGTCTGTCACCGACCCTGCTAGTTGGAAGTCCCATTGCCACAGCCTGTCTAAGTGGCCCAGAGGGTTACGAATCGGTTACTTCGCATTCATTGAGCGCCGGAGCTCTCCTTGGCAATTCAACACGAGATCAGAAAAACCTTCGTCTATTACTCTTCTGTCGTCATCGAAGACCACTTCATCACATTGTTCCTGTCAGCTCTGGGCCACCGTTGACACGCTTCATACAAGAACCCGATTTTAGCTCACCCAATTCTTATCAGTCACAGAACATTGTAGGATTCGAACCCTTGGGATCCCATGGGTTTTGAATCTCGGTATCGCGGCGGAGGCCGGCTACGGGCAGCTAGGAACTACTTATACTGGGGCGACTTGTGGAGTTCGAAGTATTCAACATCTGAAGGTTGAACTCTCGCTCTTCACATCCAACTAACTACTACCGAAATATGTATCGCGGACCACCTGGCTCTGGACGAGGAGTAAGCCTTGATTCTTTTTTTCGTCTGATCCTCCACCCTGACGAGTCAACGATGATAGGGACCACCCGGTTGCGCTCCTGGCGGCGGAATGGTATGCCTACGTCGCCCGTACCATACCGACTATTGCTGATCTAACAACTATAAAGCAGGGACCACCACCCGGCGGACCTGGAGGCCCTCCTCATGGAATGGTGAGCCTTGACATTTTCTGTACGAGCATCTTCTGAATCGTCATTCCAGGGCCCACCAGGAGGCGGAACTCCAGGCTGGGGAGCTCCTGGACCAGGAGGACCACCCATGGTAAGAACTTCAGGTTTCATTTTTTCTCGATGCAGATGGTTGATGTAACATCGACGGCAGGGAGGACCAGGCTGTGGACCCGGCGGCGGAGGGGTGAGCTACGATGTATCTTCTTTTACGAGCATCTGACGAATCGTCGCAATAGGGACCGCCTGGAGGAGGACCACCAGGTGGAGGGGGACCCGGGTGGGGGCCTGGCCCGGGAGGACCACCTAGTGGAGGAGCACCAGGAGGAGGGGGACCTGGAGGAGGGGGACCTGGTTGGGGACCTGGCCCGGGAGGACCACCAGGAGGAGGGGGACCTGGTTGGGGACATGGCCCGGGAGGACCGCCAGGAGGAGGAGGACCTGGAGGAGGGGGACCTGGTTGGGGACCTGGCCCGGGAGGACCGCCAGGAGGAGGGGGACCTGGAGGAGGAGGACCTGGGTGGGGGCCAGGCCCGGGAGGACCACCAGGTGGAGGACCACCAGGAGGAGGCGGACCAGGTTGGGGAGCAGGCCCAGGAGGACCTCCTGGACCAGGTGGCGGCCCATCGGTATGACGAGACATCACTTTCCACATTTAACGAGTCTGACGATCTCTTATGACAGGGTCCTCCACCTTGGGGCCCTCCGGTTAATCCGCCGAAGCCGCCCACCGACGGTCCAAAACCACCCATCGACGGTCCAAAACCGCCCACCGACGGTCCCAAGCCGCCTACCGACGGTCCCAAACCCCCCACCGATGGTCCCAAGCCCCCCACCGATGGTCCCAAGCCCCCCACCGACGGTCCCAAGCCACCCGTCGATGGTCCCAAGCCGCCTACCGATGGTCCCAAGCCTCCCACCGACGGTCCAAAGCCCCCCGTCGACGGTCCAAAGCCCCCCACCGACGGTCCAAAGCCGCCTACCGATGGTCCCAAGCCCCCCACCGATGGTCCCAAGCCGCCTACCGACGGTCCCAAGCCTCCCACCGACGGTCCAAAGCCTCCCACCGACGGTCCAAAGCCCCCCACCGATGGTCCCAAGCCCCCCACCGATGGTCCCAAGCCGCCTACCGACTGGCCGAAGCCCCCCACCGACGGTCCAAAGCCACCTACCGACGGTCCCAAACCCCCCACCGATGGTCCCAAGCCGCCTACCGACGGTCCCAAGCCTCCCACCGACGGTCCAAAGCCCCCTGTCAACTGTCCAAAGCCCCCCGTCGACTGCTCGAAGCCACCTGTCGACTGTCTAAAGCCCCCCGTCGACTGCTCGAAG